ACAGTTTTAATTTAATGGATCAACTAAGCCACAGGCACAAATGTGCCCATATAGAAAATAAGCTTTTTTCTCCTTTGGCTGCTTTTCACCATTGTATCCTAAATTAGCCCAGGAAAAAACAACAGTCACACGAGTTCTAAACTGGCCTTCAGGTATGTTTTAGATCTGGAAAAGAAAACCACCATCCAAAAATCTCTGTTAATCCAATTTTGGAATCCATTCCACACGTATGATATGAAACATATTGATCTAAGCAATTCATACACGCTCCTCCATCTCCAGTAATGTCACACGCTCATCACAGAGCAACACCTTCATCATGCATCAGCTTCTACCACACATGAGAGCTTCCTTGAACAAAAATCCCAGGAGCACATTTCACTTGAATTTCTCCTCCCTTTCTTCTCACAGTGGCTGTTCATTTACAAACAGGTATGGGCCCATGTGCAGACACAGCACTACAGGGCGGCCGCTCAACCACCCTCCTTCCCTGGAGCTGTCTGTTCTGGGCTGTGCCAGGCTTTGCTGCACTGTTGATGTCAGCTCACATGGGAACACACTTGGATTTCCAAGCCAGGCATGTCACAGTCACCTTTTAAATGTGGGCTTTTCACTAATGGCTTAATGGTTTGCAAAAGGGACTTTTAGAAAAACACTGTTCTCCCTATTTACAGGAGTACAGTGCATGCCTGTTCACTTAACTCTGCATCACCACCTATGCCATAAAACAAAAGAACAAAGAAACAAATTCTCTTGTGCCTCGATTGTTTGTAATACCAGTTTAAGAAGCCTAAAGCTGTTTCTGAGCAAAATGCAAGGTAGAATATAAGTCATCATCAGCAAAATCCATTCTGCAGTGTTTTGAGTTAAGTCCAGGACGTCAATCTGTGTTTCAGCAGATGATTAAAGGCTAAAACACGTATCTCCAGAGGCACTTTTCTACTTTTGCTCTCTGATCTCAGATAACAGCAAGAGTATGGCACATGTGGCACACAGTCATGCCAATACCTGTAAGAGTTCAGAGGACAAATTCATAGCCATAGTCCATAGAACAGCCTACCTCTATGTGTTCACTTTGGAAGAGGCAAAAACACAATCCTATGTTCAGTTGTTTTCACCTCAGTAAGAGAGATCTCCTGCAATATCAAGAAACAGGAAACGGAATGAAGCCATTCTCTGGGAAGGAACTTGCCTCTGGAAGAGTGAAGTAGTCTTGGTCTCATTACACTCTTCTGACAAGATTACCTCTAGGGTATGGATAGCCATCAACAGATGTTTGACCCCAGCTCTGCGTGACAATAAACCATGCTGGAAAAAAGCCTTAAACACTGCCTTTTTCATCTAGCTTTCAAGCTCTTGGACTGCCAGAGAGACGCTAATCCAAAGCAGAAATGATTCAGAACTTAAAAAAAATAAAGTCTAAGTACTTACTATTCCAGAGACAGATTTTCCATCTACTGTCTCCAGGCGAGCAGACTTCTCCAAACAGGCTACAATCCTGAGACAGACCAAAGTTTCTAAACTTTGAGATAATGCTGACAAGCAGAATGAATATCATTATCTATATCAAAGGCTAATCATTAACTACTGCTCAGATTTAACCGTGATCACTTTTACTCCTCTTTAAGCCCATTTATTGCCCAACTTGTAACCTATTTCGAACCAGATCTACCACTTGTAATCTACTCATTGGAAAATATTTCTATTAAGCCTTTCCTACGTATTCAGAACAGGGATGAGCACTGAAGCAGCAGGGACTTTGGCTACATTCTACCATGGCTGAAACCATCCTCACAAAATATTGACAATTCCTATTGTTACAGCCAAAGATTTCATATGACTCAAAATAAATATTTACTGCTTGGCCTATGCAGCCTGCAGAAGACAGAGGCCAACTATGTCAGGACCAAAGGAAGGGCTGGGATGCTCACATAAAGCTCCATGGAACAGGTAAAGACCTTTGCAAAGATTCATGGAGATTTTAGAACTCCCTGGCCTTACTAGATTGATTCAGCATGATGCAGAGATGACTTTTAAACACACTGCACACAACACATTTCAAATTTTAATTTCTCTGTCCAAGAAATCAGTGTTTTGCTTGTTTTTGGACAGTACAACAGAGCACAACAAAGTTTCATTTCATTTCATTTCATTTCATTTCATTTCATTTCATTTCATTTCATTTCATTTCAT